ACCCCATATTTCCCAAAGATTTGCTTTTTCATTTTATGCCATAATGTCTCTATGAGCTGCTTGACATCAATTTTAACAATGACACTTGTTTGAAGTATGACATGACATGCAGCGCCATTTTGCTGTTTAAATATTTTAAATTAACTTAAAAATTAAGTTTGTCAACTGTAACGGTTCGGGGCTCATATTTTGATTTTGTATAACCATTTTTTATTTACACTGTGTTTGATTCAGATATAAATATTGAAGAAAATATACTCATCCGCATAATTAACCGGACATTTTATTTTCGTCCCGCACATTTATTTTTCCTCGTTTTTTAACTTTTTAAAGAAATAGCCCGATCGGATTAGTATTTTAGATTCTGAAAAATTCGAAGCAGCAATTTTTCTTCGGAATTCGTTGGAGGGGGTCTCTGGTAGTCTAAATTCAAAAAGTTGGGATTCCAAAGTTGTCGTTACCTCCGCCATATTGATTTAAAGGGTTATTTTTTGTATCTAGAATAACTCATTTATTTTCAATTTTACACTGAAAATAGTTTTTACAAAAGTTATTTAAAATTAAATTTCCTACAATTCTGCTTTTTTTTTGTACGATCGATTTTTTTCGATTTATACCCGAAAAGAGGGGGTGAATTTTTGGTTATAGAATAACTCGTTTATTTTCAATTTTACGAGAAAAATTGTTATAAACAAAGTTGTTTAAAATTAAATTTCCTACAATTCTGTTTTTTTTTTGTACGATCGATTTTTTTGTATTTATCCCTGAGAAGAGTGGGGGTGAACCTAAGTATTGTACTTTTTAGACTTAACAATCTGGATAAAAAATTTGATTATTTTCACATCGTTAAACAATTTCAATACACTTAAAATTCCTAAAATGTTTGACGATATGAAAACAATCAAATTTCTGTAACTACCTACAGGGTGTTTTGCTTTAAAAAAGTATAATAAAACAACTATCGATCAATTACGCACTGATGGGTCACCATGTATATGTATAATTGGCTAACCTGTTGCTATCGTTGGATAGGTAGATTTATAAAGAATGTTATGCTGAAATAATATAAAGTGACGTATTTGAAAAAAATTAGTAAATTGAACTTCAAATTAGTCATAATGATTCAAGACACTCTGTATAAAATAAATCAGTTCTATCACCACTATTCCTTAGCTTGGTATCTTATAAGTCTGTATTTTAAACAAACCAAGACACAAAATGAAACTTATCTTCAATGGAAAAAATAACTAATTTAAAAATAAGGTATAATAAGTACCGACTTAAAATTATTTTATTGAGAAATTTACATCTTTACAAAAAAATAATAATATGGTAGTACCACATGAGCTTGTCTTTTATAGTGCTTTTTTTTATTTGGAAGACTTATCGAATTACTGATATAGATGCTGAGAGATGGTTCTCTCAATTTTTGCAACTCATGAGCCAATTGTTGTAATATTTGGGTTGGAGGATAAAAATTTCAGCTATTGAGAGTATATTGTAAGATTATTTTAACATTTTTTAGTCAATTAGAATTATTCAGTTCAATTATTGAGCAGTTTATAAAAAAAAGGCTAAAATTAAGTAATTACTTAAATCTTCCAGGATGTTCCAATCTTTTTTCAAGCATTCATAAATTAAAATAAACAATTTCTATGAGTTATCATTGCGTATTTGAACCTATTTTAATATCAAAATGATACACATATGACTTTCATTCAATTTAAAAACTTACAATGGCTATATTTCATGAGCCATTTATAAGATATGAAGAGGCAACTCAAGTGACAAAATAAAGAATTAATGTTCATCAACCCTTATGGGTCACCTACTTTAACAGAAAAAAGTGTACTTGTTGTACATTATTGGAAAGATAGTAAAAAAGCTTTTTTAATGATATCAATAATTATATCCTTCAATAGTACACAATAATATAAAAACTCATTTAAAAAGATGTCATGTATAACTAAATTAAAATTTTCTAAATATTTCTAGTCCAGGAGAAGAAAATAAATTATTTTTATTGAAATTCGAGGACAAAGGTTGTTATAAAATAAAATTCTTAAAAGATATAAATTGATTGTAGTGACCTAAAGCAGCCGATAATCTCATCAAAAAAATTAATTTTTTGTGACAGTAAACTTGAACGGGCCAAATTCCATTTATTATAACTGAATGCTATCGAAATGATATATTTGAACTTGAGATGAGAACACCGCTCTCTTATTCACAGATTTTCAAATCCAACATCATCAAATAAAAGAAAACTAATTAAAAAAAAATTCTGTAGAAGTTTGTAGATCAAACATAAATCATTTTGCAAGTATTCAAACTAGGGTATTTTCTACTGGAGATAATATTGTCGTCTTTGAGAGCTCTATAGCAATTTTTAATAAATATAGGGTGTTCTATTTTAAAAATACAAATTTATATTACCATTAATTCTTTTTATAAATTGAAAGGATGTTTTAATACAAATGATTTTTATCCCAAGGTTTTTTTCATAGCTGCTACATATTTCAATAATAAATTCAATATAAATTGCTATGTGAAAAGCAAAATCAAAGCTATTCTCGTAGTGCCTAATTAAAAAACTAGGTGCGGTAAAAATAAAAGCTTTCTAAAAAACGAATCAATTCAAATTCAAATATGGCCATACATAATTCTTCGGACGACTTCTTTGGCTAACAGCAACAATGTGTAGCTTTCATAACAAATTTAATAGTCAAAAATCCCTGTAGAAGCAATGCATTTTTTCGAATTTAAATAATAACCATAAATAGTACAATTTGTAAATTCGGGATTAATTTTTCGCTATATTCCCATGTTGGTATATCAAAAATAATTATAAATAACTTATCCTTATGTTGACATATCACTGTTATATACATACAGGGTAGTTCAGTAAAGAATGGGACAAACTTTAGATGTATAGTTTGGATATGTTCATTTAAGTGAATTTACCTTAGAACAATTTTGCTTGCTTAAGAAGTTACAGGGTGGATATTTTTTTATATTTTTACTATAATTCAATCATTTGTTAAGTAAATATACCCAAATTGGGTAAAAGTATAGTATATTATGCAACGATCATGTAATGATGGTTATTAATACACGAGCATTAACCGGGATACGAAACGAGCCAAAGGCGAGTTTCGTATGGTTTATGCGAGTGTTTTAATAACCATTACATGAGAGTTGCATACGCTATTTTTTCTACACCCGATAAATAATCAAGACCTATAAATATTCTATTTATATTGGCATTGAACACAATAACTAATTACTCGTATTTCTATAAAAAATTCTACAAAATTGTAATTAATGGTATTACCTTGGGTATTGGTATTACCACAGATTTTTGGGGCAAAATATTTTGTACTGCATTTTCTCCTTTCTCCGATATGTGTGGAGGAGTCTTCTATATCGCTGATATCAGACATTTTAATATTATAATTATCGAAGTTTAGCTATCTACGAAAATTTAATACGTTTTGACAACTAAAACAATTACATAGGAATTTAGGACAAACGTCAAACATCATGCTTGATTGAAAAATTGTAGGTTTCTATTGATTAAAAATCTGTATCATAATGAAAAATCTGTATCATAATGGGTATCATTATGAAACGGATTTTGGGCATATAAGTGCATTATTATAATACGGGTGTAGAAAATAGTATATTATGCAACGATCATGTAATGATGGTTATTAATACACGAGCATTAACCGGGATACGAAACGAGCCAAAGGCGAGTTTCGTATGGTTTATGCGAGTGTTTTAATAACCATTACATGAGAGTTGCATACGCTATTTTTTCTACACCCGATAAATAATCAAGACCTATAAATATTATATTTATATTGGTATTGAACACAATAACAGTAATTACTCGTATTTCTATAAAAAATTCTACAAAATTGTAATTAATGGTATTACTTCAGGTATTGGTATTTCCCTAGATTTTTGCGGTAAAATATTTTGTACTGTATTTTCTGCTTTCTCCGATATGTGTGGAGGAGTCTTCTATATCGCTAATATCAGACATTTTAATATTATAATTATCGAAGTTTAGCTACCTACGAAAATTTAATACGTTTTGACAACTAAAATAATTACATAGGAACCTAGGACAAACGTCAAACAGCATGCTTGATTGAAAAATTGTAGGTTTCTATTGATTAAAAATCTGTATCGTAATGAAAAATCTGTATCATAATGGGTATCATTATGAAACGGATTATGGGCATATACTTAAGTGCATTATTATAATACGGGTGTAGAAAAAGTTTTTTGTGTGATTCAAACGAATACCAGCTTGTTTGTTACATTACATGTACAGGGCGTTCTAAACTGGCGTGCCAATATAGTTTTTAATTCAATTTGTTTTAAATCGACATTTTTAAAAAATTAATAATTATTTTGAAAAGCATCCAATAAAGTGAAAAATAAGCGAAAAAAAAAAGTGAAAAACAAGTGAAAAATAAGTGAAAAATAAGTGAAAAATAAGTGAAAAATAAGTGAAAAATAAGTGAAAAATAAGTGAAAAATAAGTGAAAAATAAGTGAAAAATAAGTGAAAAATAAGTGAAAAATAAGTGAAAAATAAGTGAAAAATAAGTGAAAAATAAGTGAAAAATAAGTGAAAAATAAGTGAAAAATAAGTGAAAAATAAGTGAAAAATAAGTGAAAAATTAAATAAAGCTAACAAAAAATGATATATAAATACACTGATATAACATGACCACAGAACGTTAAAACGTTAAAAAATACCGGATAACTACCCTGAAGATTATTTATATTGAAAAGACGAAACGATATCTTTCAGATAGCAACTCTTGGATAGTATATCCGTTAGTGAGTTATCTGGAACTTAATCTGAAGGTGAAAAGACGAACCTTAAATTAAAAAGTAATGGCTTTCTGGATTTTCTTGCAGAGTTACCGATTTACGTAATAATCAATGAATTTTTTTTAGATAATCAGTAATAATATTTACCGGTAGTGACGTCTAAGACGTATCCCGTCCGGTCCAGTATCTGTTTGATCTTCAGCTCGTCAGGTCCTTTAACGGGAGCCGGCGCGGGAGTAGCCGCACCCGCCGAGCCGCTGGTTCCGGCTCTGCTCTTCTGCCTGTAGGTTTTCATGACACCGCATAGGTACGCTGACTTGTTGGACACGTGCTCCAGGTTAGAGTCGAGGAATTGACCGAGGACGTTGAGCGCCCCGTCCACGGGGAATTCCTTTAGGGCATCGAGAGCCCTCTCGTCCAGATCGACGTGCGCTAACTTGCCAGTCTTGTAGATTTCGTCCAATTTAGCCGCAACTTTCTCGTCAAGCCCATATTCCAGCAGCTTCTGGTAGTCTTCGGTGCGTTCTACGTCCTGTTCTATTTTCATTGGTTCTTCCGGTACCTCACCATTACCTTCTGCCATAGCTGAAACAAGAAATTATTTTAAAGCCACAAACATTTCGTAACACTTATCATAATTATAGTAGGAATCGCGGCATGAAAAATTATGAATTCAGCTGAAAATATATTTTTCCTACGACCACTTAGGAAAGTGCCCTATATCACACGCGTATGAATAAGAATTTACTTTCCACCCGAGTGAGAATATGTTACTTTCCGCAGTAGTTGTCACAAAATGTTAAACACCTAATTTCTATTTTGATCTATGTAATGTCCATATTAATACTAAAATCGATATGATTGTTAAATTATTGAAATTGTTGTAAATTAGATCCTAGATATTTATCTTTAACAATTATTATTAAAATAATTTTAAAATAATGTTTGCTCTTTATTCTGGTTAAATACATAACCGATTAGATCATTCAATTGACACAAGGGCTATTAGCTCAGGTGGTTAGGACGTCGAACTTATCAACTTTGCCATTATTCGACCGCGTTCAAATCCTGGCGGGGCAGAATTTTTTTTAGTTTTTTTATTTTTTTTTTTATTTTTTTTTTTATTTTTTTTTTTTAGTTTTTTTTTGTTTAGAAAATATGAAAATTGAATAAATACGATTATTGTTGATTATTTTTTTAAATACTTTTCAATTATTATAGTAATAATAACCTTGGTTTTACATTTTTTTGATGACATTATTTTGTGGTCGTAGGAAAAATATTGTACATCACTTGTGTGATGTGAGTGATTTTCCACACTCGTGTGATAATCGCACTCGGCTTGCGCCTCGTGCGACAATATTTCCCACTCGTGTGAAAAATGTCACTTTCCACACTCGTAATGTAATATACTATGACGTCCGTATATTTTATCAATGTAATAAAGTTACAGCATTCGTTATTGATGGAACGTTATTAACAATAAAAAAAAAATTGAAAATGGTAATCCGCTTTGCACGCCACTGGAAAATTTTATGTAGTCAAGACATATACGCTCCACGCCCGAACGAACTAAGGGTAAGGGTAAGAAAATAATGTATTTTAGCAAAATGCTAATAATATAAATACATAAAAATTTGAAATTATTCGAAAAAGGAAAATGAAAGTTACATAAATATAAACAAACAAAAGCATTAGCATTAGATAGTAGTTTCTGCAACAAGAGTGGATATGATGGCTATACTGAAGACGAAGTTTAAGCAGGCCGCCGTAGGCGGGGTGCGATATGGACTATCCTTATACAGTATACTTTTCTACGACGCACTACCGAAAATATACAAATTTTAAAAATTATTTTGTGTTATTAAGATAAAATTACCAATTTAAAAATAATTTATGACTTTTACTAATTTATAAAAAAAAGATTTATTTAGTTAGGCTCCAATCCTAAATCTGAATCCGGGATCTCTCACGTGAGAGCTAAATACACTACTCTTAGCTTCATCGACACACCTAACATTTTAGTCTTATTACCCAAAATTAAATTAATTTTATATAGTTTTATTAAAATTTATGATTTATTTGTAAATATATAATTCTTGTGAAATGCTATTATTTATCGATTCTTCACAAACATAACTCATTTTAAAGTACGTATATTTAATCTCAATAACTAAAAAATTATCGACAATAGTTTGACAGAATTGTCACTCAATTAAAATAAAATAAAAAAACAATAGTAGCCAGATGACCAAAATCTAAGCTTTTGATGGATTTCATATTTGGGCAGTGTTCTTACTAGGTAGAATGGATATGAAATATATTCGTTCAGTTGAACGCAATGTCCTACTTTTTTGTTTTGTCGCCTGTGCGTAGAATAGTTTTAATACCTATGTGGGTAGTAAACATTATTAGTAGTAAACGATCAATTACTAAACAAGAGATTTTAAGTCTTGCTGAATATTTTCAAATTTTTAGCCGCCTTTATCATGTTCTTTTTAGAAAATAATCGATATATTGAGAAAATATTAACTTCTGTTCAAAAATAATGTTCTGTTACCAGAAATTATTATTTTTATTTATATAATTTTAAAAGCAATCTGTTAGTTTTCATCAAGCTTTCACTGCAATTTAATTTGTTGACAGCTGTGTACATGTACAAGCAAGTATCAGAAACATAAAACTGTATCATTGGAAAAAAGATGCATTTTGCAATCACTAAAGTCATTTAAATACTATGTACATTATGAATAGTAGAGGCCCCAATACACTACCTTGGCGTACTCCAGTTTTGAATTTTCAGAATGTGTTTTCAAGTTTTAATACTTAATAGCGATTCTGCAAGTAAGATTGAAACCACTTATAAGTCAAAGACAAAGTAATATTTTAGTTCCAGTTAAGAAAATACAAAATTTCTCAGTCAAATGTTCTTTTAAGATCTAAAAATACTATTACTGTGATAAGATTTTTATCAGTTGCCAACTTAATTTCATTTATTATATTTTGTGAAACAGTTTCATAGGAAAGACCGTATACGAAAACCAGACTGATTTAAAGATAAAAATTTGTTTTCATTCGAAAATTCAATTAATTGTTGGTGGATGACTAATTCGCGGCAAGGTAACCTATTAATGGGTCTATGCTCTTCCAATAAATTAGTTCTTTTTACTTTTGGTATATGTTATGGATATAACAGTTGATAGAAATGTGTTAATACTGTGTAAAAGAGAATATCCCACAACTCCAAATATATTTTTAATTTATTTAAAATCTCTGTTCCAACGTCCTAACTCTAGGACGGAGAATCAAGATGTATTTTGCTACTTTTACAAATAATATAGTAAGAAAAGATCTTAGAAATATTGTTTTACCAATAAAAACTTGCCCAAATGTGTAATACAGCAACAATCTTATGGGACAGTGGAGCGAATAGGGGGCGCTCAGCGTGTTGTCAATGTTATTGCAAATATGAACTTATTTACATATTTTTTAGATTTTTTTATTAGTTATTAACATTTGCGCAACAAATAAAAATGATATCTGGATTCCTTGTACCATGAAGAATCTATAGCTGTTTATTTTTATTGTACGGTAGAAGTTATTAAAGTAAAAAATGAGCTATGTTGTTTATTTGAATTTTTATACCTAAAGTATAACATTTTCTGTATACATTTTTTCCATGTTAATATATAATTTTAATTAAATAATTTGATAAATCATAAAATGTTGCCGCCGGTAACTTGAAGTGAGTTGTGATGGTTTCTTTGAGCTTCTCTTCAGTTTGGAAGCTCTTCTTCCCCAAGCCACTTCTTTAATTCAAGGAAAAGATGGTAGTCACTCGGCGCTAGGTCGGTACTATATGGTGGATGTACAAAAAGGTCCCATTTAAATTGGCCAAGGAACAGTTGGGTTACACGAGCACATGAGGATGGGCATTGTCATGGATGAGAGCAATTCCAGAAGTCAGCATGCCACTTATTTTGTTTTGAATAGCTCTCCATAAACTCTCTTCATACACTCAATTCATTCTTCGATGAATTTCCGCTGCGCTATTCCTTTCTGCCTGCAAGAACCGAATACCACTTCGCAGTTCACACTTGGCGGGAGAATCAATACAGATAGCCATGTTTACGTGACTGCAGCTCAACAAGAAATGGCGTGTTGTCGTCGGCAGTGACAGACAGTGTTGCCAGAATATATTTTTGTAATGTACCAGATTTGTCTAAAAAATGTACCAGATTACGTAAAAATGTACCAGATTTTTCTAATTGTGGAGTGTGGTCATTAAAGAGCAAAAAAACTGTTTATAGAGAACACGAACACAACAAACAAAGAAGACCCCAACAATATATTTTACACGTCAAATGGAAACATACGCTGAAAAAAGAAAATGTACTAGATTTTGCTTAGAGTGTACTAAAGTACCAGATTCTCAGAGAATGTACTAGATCTAACCAGACTGGCAACACTGGTGACAGTGTGTAGAAGGGAAGACGCGCAGTCGCCTACTACGCACGCCAGCTACGTGCTCCATGCCTGGCCTTCATACTGTGCGATCGGAGGATAAAAAAAACAGCCCTCGTATTTTTATTTTCTACAAATATCCTAATAGTAAGAGCTTTAATATTATTAAACAAATGTACAGTAAAATATTCAAATTTTAAATCCGCTTTAATATATGCCATAACATTTTGATTATATCAACTGTCATTAAAAATTATTATAATGACTGTTTAATTCAAAAATAGTTTATTAAAAACAATTTATAATGGTCTAAGATTCGAAGTAAGATCAACCTTCACCCATCTGTTTAATGAATGAAAGTTTCTTTTTATTAAATAAAATGTTTATAAATATACCGCAAATGGGTTGCCTAAGAAAATACGGTCCAGACTATTTATTTTCTTAAAGTAAAAAAAAAAACGATACCCTGTAAAGTATTCCCCACATGCTTCGACTATGCCCAAACTTTAATCTACTCACCGCAGGATGAATTAAAACTTAAGTTTAAAATTTGGTGTTTCTCTCTTGATCGGTTTTTGAGTTACTTTCAAAATTCGAAATTGCACTTTTCCTCAAATATCTCGAATTAGGTCCATTTTAGGGAAATCATGTATAGCGACAAAATAATAGAGAATGACGTCATAAGTAACTTTTATCATGATTCCTATACTTTCCTTATCTGTACACAAAAAGGAAAGTAAAAGATGACCGTGACCGTACTTTCTTAGGCAACCCATTTGCGGTATATTTAAAAACATATTTTATTTAATAAAAAAAAAACTTTTAAACAGATGGGTGAAGGTCGATTTTACTTACGGATCCTGGACTATAACGTACTAATTAATTTATTTAATACTTAGGCACTATTATAACTCATAATTCTATTTTATTTATTACAATTTATCTTTTCCATACAACACTTATAATGAAACTTAACGTCTACCGACCAATTCGAGCTATTTATATAAAGCCAGCTCTGCACTGGTACATTCTCGACGATCTGGAATTTCTGCCTCTATGACTCAGCCGCCACGCACTGATTTCTCTGGTAGCTTCTTGAAGGAGTGCGTTTGTCTCTGTCC